AAATCCGTCCTGACAACAATGGAATGTATATCTAAGAATATATCTGGAAATATGACTGATGAGACTATTCTCATCAATAATCAAGTCATAGATGTACAGCTATAGTATATTGACCGTAACCAAGGTTACGGCTCAGCCAATGGGAGATGAGGAGAAGGGCTGTAGTGGGCCGGTTATTCAGCATTTGGTGGAGCCTGAAGCACAGACTCTCCATCTATCAATAATTTAAGCCAGATTCTCTCTCTCGCTCTCATTCAGATTGCATTCGTCTCGCTTGCGGTTAAACACAAAGCGGGTGGAACAAAGATGATGTCCTCCGGTAAGATCACGAGGAGACTAGCAGTTCTGGATGCAGTGGAGAAACAAATCTGATAGCTGCGTTACGAGACAAATGAGACCAGATCAAGTGGAAAAATGCTCACTTATATGCTCGTCTGGTCTGATCATGAGTAAAAGTGCAGAAATAAAAGAGAAAGATTTAAACAACAGATTAACAATCTGATACAAACTTCTAAAGAAATGAACAAAATGGCTGATATGTGCACAGCTGTGACCCGTGAAGTTGCTTGCTTTAATTAAAAATACAATTCAATTGAAAGCAAAACAGGATTATTATAGTTAACTAAAACTGAACTACTTACTTTTTGTTACTTGAAATAAAATATAAAAAACTTAAAACACCTAAAACAGAAATAAAAATGTAAAAACTATATAGATATACAAAAACTATAAAAAATGACAAAACCCCAATATGACTAACAAACAAAATAAACAAAATTACTTTAACTAAACTTTATATTTACACCCATATATATAAATCAAAATATTAATAAAAACTATAATAGTATATCAACGATACTCAATAAGACGGATGCCAATAAGATTGAATCAAATAAAATAACAAGATTAAAAAAAAAAATTATAGTAATAGTAAATAGTAAAATAGTTACAATAAAACCAACCAATCAAATAATCTTCATACAGAAAAACAATATACAAATTATATTTTCAAATGTATATTTTAAAGGTCTGAATAAATGCAAGTTGCCTGGGAACTGTAAATAGACAAGAGTTAAGCTAACAAACCATACTAATTGATGAAATAATTATTTCATATTATTAATAATATATTTAATTATGTACTGAATAATGGTGCCTTGTATTTGTGTTGCTGCAAAATACATGTGACTTTGATAAGAGTGACTTTCATCATGGTTAAGGGGGTTTAAGACATTTCACTTTGTCATCTTTTAAAGTGTATTGCTTTAGTTTTGTTAATCTGTTTCAATTCTCCATCACCCATGAAGCCATGTGACTTTTTAAGTGTCTTGCAACAGTCTGTTCGAAATGCATCACTTCTGCAGTTACAAATAAAACTTCTCCTTAAAAAATGTTAACATAAAGCTCTTACACTCTAAAAAAAAATTGTGCTAAATAGCACTAAAAGTGGTTCATTAGCTCGTAATCTTAGGGGAACCACTTTAAGTGCTATATCTTTAAAGGTGTTATACAGCGATATACATAAGAGGAAGCCCATTCTCCGCCTCAGATTTTAGCTATGTTACTCCACTCTCATATGTTTGCTATGAATGGGAATTTACTACAATGGCAAAAGCTCTTTTGAATCAATTGTATGCTTTTCTGAGGTGTGGGGGCCCTGGAATATTTCCTTATAGGGGGGCCTTGGGTGCAAAAAGGTTGAGAACCACGTTATCTTCAGGAAATACACTGTATTTTAATGTCATTTTTTAATCCTTTCCCAAATAAACTAAGAGAATAAGAGAGAGTTAGAAAACCTTTAAAGAACTAATACAGGGGCTTCTTGATATATAGCACCTCAACCACCCCAAAGAACCCCTGAAGAACCAATTTTTTATGCTTGTGTAATTTCGAATTTGACAAGCATATACTCTGACGTCAGATTTAGAAAAGTTTGCCTAAAGAATGCTATGTATCTTTGGGGATGTGGCGGTCTTTTTGCCAGCACATTCTCCCAGATATCTGCTCCCAAAGGTCCAAGATTAAGAAAGATGTTGAAGAATTCTAGAGGGTTTGCATCACTAAATAAGGCCATGACTGGAGCGTCTGTCAGTCTGTGGAGATGAAGCATTGATTTATTCTGGCACATACATCCACTGACCCGACCGCACAACATCAGCGGACACTCGACATCTTTCAAGGCCTGAATAATTGGAAAAAATGTCTTTGCAAACGGGCTCAGTGCTCGGACCGTTCATGAGTTTTGTTAAAGCCAACGTGAAATCAAAATTACCCTATTTACAGTACTAATGCATGCTTCTGGTTTTACTGTGAATGATTCATCAGTGCACATTGTTCCAAAGGGGGAAAACAATTGTCATCATCTCTTTCATCAAAGTGTAATAACCTGCTCCACCTCTGAAATCAATTTCCTTTTCAGGTGACGTCACTAAAAGGTCAAGTTTTGGTTGGTTAAGCATAGCCCTGTTAACACCTGCTTGAAAACTCTACACCATCTGGCTCTATTGATGGAGATGTGCATTCTAACCAAAATATAAATCATAAATATTTCATTATATTAGACTAAATGTTTTATCCATTCATCCAGTGCAAAATGGACTTATATTTTCGCAGCTCAGGATGTGTTATTTTAGTATCATCATATTTATTCATATTTTGAATTAATTTTTATTTTTATATTTTATATTTTTTATAAAACTTATAAAATAAGTTTTAGCAATGTGTTTTTGTCATTTTTTATTTTATTTTTTGTATATGTCTATATGTTGTTAATTTTATTTCAGTTTTAGTTATTTTAGTACATCAAGTTAAACTAAATGAAAAATTTTTCCTTGGCAACTAGCTGGAGAATTTTGTTTTTTAATCTAAGAATGTATCTTTTATTCTCCAGTACTGAAAACAGAACCGATAAGGGAGCTTTTGATATGGGCTGTGATGCAGCTCTTGCAGATTACCTTTTTTGTTCATTGTCTGTCATTTTGAAGCTTAAGTTGCATACGTTTTTCTTTAGTTCAAGGCTGGCAGTCATGCATATGCTCTGGAACAGAGTAATATCGCGTCCACATCGCAGGCTTTGCAATTAGCAAATCGCAACATCTCAAATTGCGATTTCGCTTCGATTTCGATTAATCGCACAGCCCTAGTACAGACCTTATATTCTATTGCCCTACACCAACCCTACACCTAAACCTACCCCTTACAGGACACTTTCTGCTAGTGTTGTCACAGTACCAAAATTTCAGTATTCGGTACCAATACCAGTGAAAATCCACGGTTCTCGGTACCAATTTCGGTACCAAAGTAAAACACAAAAACATGCTAATTGAACAACATTTTTATTAATAACGTTAAACAAAAATTAAATGTACAAAACCAACGTTCCGAGGATAAAATACGCATGTTTTGGCGGGGTTCCCCTGGTAAAATTCGCATTCCAGGGGCTAAATATCACGTTAGTGGGGTCGTTTTTCAACCCGCGGACATGAAAAACAACCCACGGCAACCGTGTTAAAGCAGTGTTTCATTTGGAAATAAAATGGTCTGTGAATGCTATTTCATGTTGACTTTTAAGTCACTGTCATTAAATAAAGGTAGAAGTCTCGTGGGCTGCACCAAATAAATTTTAAGATTAAATCTAGATTAAATCACGGTTTATCTAATAATTCTGTTGTACCTAACGTAGCAGACTTACATTCAAACCATCAGTTTGATCCTGGTTTTAATTTAGGCCTACATTTAAAACAGTTTACATTTAAAACAGTTTACCTTTAATCCTGTTACTCCATTACTATAAACTCTGATTTAAGTCTCAGTTGTGAATTAAACATACAGGTTAAAAGGAAATGCAATATTAACACTATTGCTGTTTGATTACAATAACAAATCTATCATGGCAGACAAAATTACTCGTTTTAAACTCAGGTTATAATTTTAATCCCCGATTTGTTAATCTGTGTTTAAAATTAAATGGTGCAACATAGCTTGATCAACAAATCTTTGATTATTTCTACATTTTCTACATTTTAATCCCACCCTTGTTCTCTGAGCTGTGATTAAGTCCCATGAGCGTGGAGGCGCTGCATGTGAACACATACCAGACGTGCTTCAGTGTCCTTACACACACAGCCAGATATGCTGGACCACAAACACCAAACATTCAGTTACGTAATCAGCCATTACAAGCATTTAACATCTGCACAAGAAAGAAACCGTAATATAGTCTCCAGTCAGCGAGTGTGTTTACATGCAAGACACAATGCTTTTTAGAAACACCTGAGGAGATTTTATCACCTTTCTCAGTTTTTAAAACAAACACACATGCACACACCAGAATGGCGGTCAAGTAGTTTCTACAACTTCATGCATGCAAACACATTCAGTGACATAAGAGTAGACCTCTCTTATCCAGTTGTAAATGAGCAATACTGGGCAGAGAAAGAAAGCATGCAACTATTTCTCTCTGCAAGGGAGCTTTTTCCTGTGAGGAAATCTACACAGGAAGTACATAGTTTGATCTGCCCATAGATTACATCATTGTCTGACCCACTGTTCTAGATTCATGCCAACAGACATGACTCTTGTAAAACTTTAAGATGTGCAATACATAACCAACAACAGGAATTATGAAATCAATACTCTAATATTCAATAAAATTAAGCACTGTTGACATGTAGCAAACTCCACCCACATGACAAGTTCATCCACCAAGAGAAGTCCTCAAAAGGACAATTTAGAAAACATCAAAGCAAGTTTTTTTTAAACGGAAGAATTAATTAAGGGCTTTCAATGCCTTTATGATGCTTGGTTCAGAGGTCATCGCTGATGTGTTATCGCTACCTAAAACTATTCAAAATAATTTTTGGTATTTGAAATAAAGCTGAAATAATATAAAATATAAATATTAGATCTTAAAACACTAAAAAAAAAAAAATGTAAGTACAAATATATTTATAAATATATATATAAATACTAAAATAACACTGCATCGCTGTGGTGCTCACCTTGATGCAGTTGGCCAGGTCGGTCTGGTAATAGCGGTCGTGATGTGCGTTAGCAGCCGCCAATGTGAGAAGATATTCGTTCCTCGCATGGGTCGCTTTGGAGTTACAATCGCTCCTCTTCGCTTTCAACTGAAACACACACGAGGTCCAAAACTTCAAGAAGTGCAAAGCACAAGCTTCTAAGACATCAATATAAAGGGACAGTGCATCAAGCCATTCCAACACTGTATCATTCAGTTCAACCTGAACTGCCATCGGTCACATCCAAATTCTGGCCTTTCCTCACTTAACACTATTAGAAGACTTGAAATATAGTGTATGAGCTGTATGGACTACTTTTATGGTGCCTTTTTGTAACTTCAAAGTGTAAATCATCTACTTCTACTCTAGTCCAGCTGTGCAAAATATTACAAAATGTTAATTTTTTTTCAAATTCCCCTCCAGCACAGTCCAAAGTTGTGCTTGACAGAAGACCCAAAAACATAGTGGTCATGCTACACTAACATGGTATAAAGAGTAAATCAGGTTTTAGAGTGGAAGCAAAATGTTTCTCAAAGAAACAGACAGACGGTGGTGTTTACCTTCACACTGGCCTTCTGTAAACTTATCCTAGACTGGAACAGACCCAGCTTCGACCTGAGAGAACACAGAGCAGGTATTATAAATCACAGATTATATCAGACCCGGCGGAAGGAACAGGTAGGATAAACGAAAGCCCAGATCAAATCCATCCCGGATTTGTGTCGAGGAGGAAACAGACATTATAAATCAAACTAGAGTGGATCACTCCTGCAACCTGGTTTTGCCATTGCTGAGATGACTTCTTATCTTAAAGGAACAGTTCACCCAAAAATTTTTTTTTATTTAAAACATGTATGACTTGTCTTTCTTCTGTGGAACATAACAGGAGATATTTTGAACAATGTGCACACTACTCTTCACTATACAATGACAGTTGTAATTGCTAATTCAAAATATTAATAAATATTAATTCATAATAGTGAATATAATAGTATATAATAGAACATAATAGTATAATAATACTAAAATATCACTGCCCTCCACTGCAGCTCTTATTCATGCTTCTGCATACTGAAACCAAAGCCATTTGGTGACATTGATGTCAAACTGCATGACTTGGTATCTTGATGTGCCAAGTTTGAAAATGTGGAAGCACAAGTGAGATTATCAGCAAATAACCGTTTCTCACATAAAGCAATCAAATGACTTCAGAAGACTATAGCACATACGTTATATGGACTACTTATATCATGATGTTTTTGGTCACAGAAAAGAGCATTTAAGACACTTTGTAAAACCACTTATTTTGTGTACCATGGAGAAAAAAAAGGTAATTTGGGTTATGATAACAATATTATGATTAATTTCTGGGTGAACTACTATATTCTTTGAAACCAAAAGTTGCTTTTTTATGACCAACTATGTTCAAATTCATGAACACAAGATGGACAAATTTGCACAAACCACCTATGAAAATTCAACATTTTAATCTTAACATCCAATTTTCTGCTTATGTTAGATTTACATCTGGATTCAGAGATTACACCCACATCACAGAGCCCTATTCATTAGAGATCAGAGTTGTTTTGGGGTCTGATACAATTTGATTCATCAAGTTTGCATGAAATTAAGAACAAAGACAGATTCTCTCCCATCTTCCTCCTACTGCTGAGAACAATAACTGATTCTAATTCAGCTTTACTGCCAAGCTATGCTAAGAAGGACAACATCAATAGCCAAAATCAATAGAAAAACTGAGCGAGGAGCTCACAACACCATGCCACTGGACTCGTCTTTCACCTCTCCGTCTAATCCGGTCTTGGCAGAGGCTTTGGAATGGCAATTGTAGTGTGGGTACAAATGGCCCTTAAAGATGGAGAGAGATGGTTAAGTGTGTTTAACAAATTCTGCATCAGGCTAATAAATTGCTTTGAACAGAGTGGGGTATTCCCTACTGGGGGCTTAAGTATCAGCCATGGAAATGCATATTTAATGAAGGCATCTCAACTCAACGACACATCTTTTATATTCTTTGGCACTTTTAATGCTTTGAGTTTGTGATTCTGAGCCTAATATCTTCGATAAGGTGGAAAACCGCTCAGTGCAATAACATTTTAAATTTCAATACCCAAAATATGCAAATTTTTATGAAAAATAGTAGAGCATGGCGCTTGCAATGCCAAGGTCATGGGTTTGATTCCCAGGGAATGCATGAACTGATAAAGTGCACCTTGAATGCAATTCACTTTGCATGATAGTGTCAGTCAAATACACAAATGTAAATAAAAGTAAAAGGATTTAAGCTCTACTGAAAACTAAAATTACAGTACCAAGGTATGCACATTTTTATAGAAAAGGCATTCCTGTAGCTCAAACAGTAAAGCACGGCGCTAGCAATACCAAGGTCATGGGTTTGATTCCCAGGGATTGCATGAACTGATAAAGTGTAAAAAAAAGTTATTTTATTATTTTTTTTATGAAAAATAATAAAATTACCAAGATATGCACATTTTCTGGAAAAGGCTAAAAAAGCTGAAACAGTAGAGCACAGCGCTAGCAATGCCAAGATTATAGGTTTGATTCCCAATGTAATGTAAATAAATGTAAAATTATTCAAGCTCTACTTAAAAAAATAAAACCAAAATACGCACACTTTTTTATAGGAAAGGCATTCCTGTAGCTCAAACAGTAGAGCATGTTGCAAGCAATGCCAAGGTCATGGGTTTGATTCCCATGGAATGTATGAACTGATAAAGCCTGCTTTCAATGCAATGCATGTTGCTTCACCAAATACACAAATGTAAATGTAAATAAAAGGATTTAAGCTCTACTGAAAAATAATTAAACTGCAATACCAAGATATGCACATTTTTATGGAAAAGGCTCAAAAAGCTCAAACAGCAGAGTACGGTGCTTACAATGCTGTGGTCATGGGTTCGATTCCCAATGTAATGTACATAAATTAAAAAATGTATGTAATTTACATAAATGTAAAAGGATCTAAGCTGTATTGAAAAATAATACAATTACAACTCTCAGATATGCAAATTTTTACGGAAAAGGCATTCCAGCAGAGCATGGCGCAAGCAACACCAAAGTTATGGGTTTGATTCCAAAGGAATGCATGAACTGATAAAGTGTAACTTACCTTTTCAAAAGGTACTATGTACATTTTAGGTACTAATATGCACTTTTAAAGTATTAACATGCACCTTTAAGGTATTAATATGTATCATTTAGGGGTAAACATGGTACAAAGAAGTAGCTTTTGTAACTTAGAGTACCGCCCCAGTGACAGCTTCATACATTTTTTCTTCTGAGAACGTAGTGGTTATTCTTTAATTAACGGGACAAGCACTTGTGAAGTGTGTGTTTCTGATCTGGGCACCTCTGGGACCGTTTGCACCTGCAATACCAGACGCACTTACTTGGACTCAATGTCGGCCTTTTCCCGCACAGCCTGGGCCATCTGCTCCAGCTCAAAGTATTTCTTTTTGGACTTGGCCAGATCCTTCACTGAATCCTGGAGCTCTGCCTGGATCCGACCCAACTGCTCAATGCACTGCGGGTGGCCGTCGCGGGACAGCAGAGAGAGAGACACAGAGAGAGAGAGACACAGAGAGAGAGAGA